TGTGTGTGTGTGTGTGTGTGTGTGTGTGTGTGTATTTCAAGTCTTTTACTTGGTAATTTATCTTTTACTTGATAATTTACTTCTGCACCAACATCAGATTCTATGAGCCCAGCATTCTGCAATATGCACAAAACTGTGGCTCCAATATGGTCCCAGGTTTGTGTTTTAAAAAGTGCATTCCCTTCTTGCAAACAATGATGTGTGTATTCATAATAATATAATAGGTCCTAGTTGTAATTATGAGGTTCTAGTATATGACAGTCCAAAAACATATCTTTGCAGTTTGGGCACCACATTCTGGTGGATCTGTGAGCAAGACTCCCCGTGTTTCTTAGCATTGCCACCTTGCTCGTTTACCTGCCCCTTTCCGTTAGATCCACCACCCATCAGTACCAGAAAAGCAAGGGCAAGGCTGGTGGAATTTCCTGCCTGAATCTTGTAAAAGCAATGACCAGTAGCCAGGAGGAGAGGAGAGGGGCAGAAGATTATGGGAATCGGTAGTGGGTCCTTGGTTCAACTTTGGTCTTTCTAGTGTGCCCCCAAATTTCACCCTATGGTCTGCTCAGTGTTTATGTCTTTTCCATGTAATGGAAGTACATAATCTAAATGTGTTGCTACTTTCTCACCAGAGGTGTCTCAGACAGTGTGTGTGTGTGTGGGGGGGGGGTCTTCACTTTCCCACTCTCAAACTCAGGGTTTTTGTGCAGCCAACCCTTATTTTAAATACTTTTCTTGAAATTGCCATACCTAGAAAGGCCAGACAACATAAAAGGATCAGTAGGCAGGTTACAGTGATCCAGATGATCCTGCTGGGACTAGGCAAGGACTCAGCTGCAGAGATAAAACAAGGAGATCACAGCATTCATATTATGATGGGAGAAAAGGGTAGAGCGCATTTCAAGTTTCAGAGGAGGAGAGCAATCTCTTGTAACCTGTTTCCCATGAAATAGCTATATATATTGCTAAGCATCTTGGCTCAAAGTCTTGGGCACTCCTCCACATCTCCAGGTGCCTATGGGCCTCTGCATGTCCATCTCCAACCTCTCTGCCCATCCTTGGCATCAGCTTCCTGCCATCCTCTCATAGGCCTTTCCTCTGAAGTTTTAATTAAAATTAAAACAGGGGAAAGGACATTTCCCTCCCTACAAGAACCAGCCCATTCCTTCTCATCTCTGCAGCCAACATTCCTATGTCCTCCCATAGGTTTTGAATGTTTGAAGGCCACAATATGGCATTACAACACTCAGGAGGGTGTGTGTGTGTGTGTGTGTGTGTGTGTGTGTGTGTGTGTAAGCATTTGAGAGATGATAAAACAGCAGAATGGGGAGTATAGCTTTTGTAAAAGGGGAAATGGAGAGTATAGGGACTTTTGATTACAGAACAGAAACTAGTTCTCTTTCTTTTCCTGAAAGAAAGGAAGCCACAAAGAAAGTAACAGCTAGTGACCAGACAGACTCTTAAGATGCTCAGAGCTGAAATGAGGAATTAATGTTCCTTCTCTTGCGGGCTTTGATGTAAAGCTGGAAGAAGGGGAAAGTCCAGGCTGGAACCCTGTTTTAGTCACTGTTCTTCTACTTAATAATTTTGGAAGCCAGGGCTAGTTTAAATGTCAGGATGAGAGATGACATGGATGGTTGGAGATGGGTATCAGCAGAGGACAAGCAGCTTCACAGCACAGGACTGATGGAGATTGGGGGGACAAGAGAAGAGGAGTGAAAATGTTCCTCAAGAGGTTGGGGGGGCTACTCCCCACCTTCCCTTTCATCTGATGCTAGCCTCCCTCTATCTCCAACTGGATCGGATTCTGTGTCAAATAAAAGCTGCAAGAAACATTACAGCAAATATAAGGAGGTTCTTTCATTCACAAGAGAGGACAGAAAGAAAGGAGGTGGGGGGGGGAGATGTCATAGAATCTCTGATAAGTTTGCTTTGAGAAGTTACAGAATAGAATTCTTAGGTTGCCAAGTCATGATAATAATCCTTTTAATATGCAGACTTCCCAATCTCTTCTCTGAAACGTAATCCCTTCAACTTCATCCCTAGTAGAAAGCTTAAGCATAGCATTCTCCAATCTGATGCCCTCTAGAGGTGTTGGGACTACAGCTTCCAAAATTCCCAGCCAGCATGACCAACAGAGAGCAGCAAGTTGGAGAAAGCTGCATAAATATCTATGAATGAATTTGCTCCCATTCATATTAATCCCTTGTCCCTCCTTCTAGTCTTTCTTGCCTCACTGCACCTAAATTTAGGGCAATCTTTTGTGTATACTACAGTGCAAAATTTGTAGGGCATCCTATAAATAAGAAGTCTACGTGGCCTATTCTTTGTCCAGATGTCTTCAGTTTTGCAAATGAAAAGTTTATTTGTATGTCTTCTCTATCTCAAGAGGGTCATTCCCTGGGTATCCTTCAAGGAGGAAAAGAGTATCCAAACCTTCTAGCTTCACAATGGAAAAGTGACCATTTCCTTCCATGTTTTATTGTTCTACCAACCTAATTACTTTTAGCAAAGCTAGACTATTGAAGGACCAGGGAGAATGAGCTACAGGCCTCCTCAGCCACAAAGCTCTCTGGATGCCTGGGACTAATGGCCATCTGTTAGAAACACTCCACTAGAAGGAAAGACAGTGGATTGAGTGGGATGTGTGGAATCATTACTTCTAGCATCCTTTGGAGGAAGAGTGGCAGGAAGAGTAGTTATATCTACTATATAACAAACAAATAAATGCATTACTCCGATCTTTCTGCTTCTTTATGTAAATAGTATTATTTACTATTTATTGAATAGCTAGGCTGCCAAGGTTGAGAAACACTCCACTAGAAGGAAAGACAGTGGATTGAGTGGGATGTGTGGAATCATTACTTCTAGCATCCTTTGGAGGAAGAGTGGCAGGAAGAGTAGTTATATCTACTATATAACAAACAAATAAATGCATTACTCCGATCTTTCTGCTTCTTTATGTAAATAGTATTATTTACTATTTATTGAATAGCTAGGCTGCCAAGGTTGAGAAACACTCCACTAGAAGGAAAGACAGTGGATTGAGTGGGATGTGTGGAATCATTACTTCTAGCATCCTTTGGAGGAAGAGTGGCAGGAAGAGTAGTTATATCTACTATATAACAGACAAATAAATGCATTACTCAGATCTTTCTGCTTCTTTATGTAAATAGTATTATTTACTATTTATTGAATAGCTAGGCCGGAAGGCATCAAGTCAAGCTGCAGTTAAAAAGAAACAAGTACAGGCCCTTTTCCCTTTGTCAGTTGGCAACTTCAAGACCACAAAGACACCCTGCCCTCAAGAAGCCCCTTATTTCCCCTTGTTTTTCTCCTTTTGATCTGCTGCTGCTCCTAAGGGTAGGAGAGAAGGAAGATGTCCTGGGAGACCAACAGCCTGCCGTGTAATATGCCATTTCTCTGGTCTGGTTCTCCTCAAAGATATCAGAATTACAAGTCCACCATCTCCAGCTGGGATTTCTGAGAATTGTCTCTTGATATCCAAGATGGAGCCAGGTGAGGAAGGTGGGTTTAAGCAGACTTGAATCAAACTGATGTTTTTTAAGGGAGACCTGCTCAAATTAAGGGTGCTTCCAGATAGACAATTATCAAAAGAAACCACTTCTGTTTTTCTTTCCACTCCTGAATAGATTTAAGGAAGAAGGAAAATAGAAAACAAGTGGTGGGAAAGCATGTCAAGGTTATTATTAATAAGGTTATTATTTATTAGTAATTAATAAAGTTATTATTATTATTATTTATTAAATTTCTCACCCGCCCATCCCCCCCAGTGGGGGAACTCTGGGCGACTCACACCGAACATTAAAAACATAAATATATATAAATACATAAAACATCAATTTAAAAACATTTCTAAAAAAGGGAAAAGAGAGTCCAAGAAAATGAAAAATCTGAGGCTGAAGACGGGAGGCCTCTATGGAGGCCTTATTTATTATTTAGAGCCTTTGAAAAATCCGAACATTAAAAACATAAATATATATAAATACATAAAACATCAATTTAAAAACATTTCTAAAAAAGGGAAAAGAGAGTCCAAGAAAATGAAAAATCTGAGGCTGAAGACGGGAGGCCTCTATGGAGGCCTTATTTATTATTTAGAGCCTTTGAAAAATTCTAGTTGGGCAAAAGCTTCATCTGAAAAGCACCCTAAATTTGAATATTCCTGAGGGAATAATCTAGAGAAGGAACAAACCAAGGATTGAATCCAAGGGTCCCATAAGAAATCTGATATGAAGCAGAGAGAAGTGCCTGCCTCTAATGATCAAGTTCAGGTGTATAAAATTGTATTTGTTGCCAGAAGAGAGGAAGGGGACTTTTCTGCCTCAGCTGCTTTTTTTTAAAGATTCTTTTTTATCCTGTCTTTGTTATTTTTATAACTCAAGGTGGTGAACATACCTAATACTCCTTCTGCCTCCTATTTTCCTCAGAACAACAACCCTGTGAGGTGGGTTGGGCTGAGAGGGAGTGACTGGCCCAAAGTCACCC